AACAAGGGAGAGATGGAAGACAATGGGGTATTTTTTTCAGTGCGCCGACGGTGGTGTGTGGGAGGCGGTTCGTCGGGGGGCTTGTGTGTAGTGGTCGTGGGGGTCGTCGTTTGCACTTCGTCATGGCAACCGCGCAGTGGGTGGCGCGGGTGGTGGCCTGGAAGAACTAACCGTCCAAGTTAAATGGTTTTTACTGTTGAACTGGCTAGTCTTGTGTAGCTGTACTTATGATCTGCAAAACCCCACTTGCACGTCTCTGCGGTGGTGATGATAGCATTTTACTGTGGCACCGATTCGTATAGTCAAGCTGTACTTATCAGCTGCTTATCCCACTTGCACGTGTCAGCGTCGGTGTTGGTGGAGGTCTGAACTCCTCTAGTGTCGTACTCGGACTGGTGATTGAAGTGTAATTGAATGTACCAAATACCAGCGATACTATGTGTGGTGCTAATGTTTTTTTAAACAATTTTCGTATTTTTTTAAAGGATTGTTTATATCAAGATAACATGTGAGTATTTTTTACAGATAAATTAGATTTTCACCAGTACAGGATGTATTATATTCGCATTTTGCTTGATGTAATTATTTTTATGTACTGACGGTCTTTCTAAATTGGGACTTGTAGGAGCAGGCATAGTTTTGCGTCAGATATATGAGGATAAGTTTTTTCAATTTTATTTTTGACTGCATTCAAAAGGATTATCAAATGGTTTAAATAATAATGTCACTGCTTCAGCGGGCACAAATCAGAAATTATATCAGTACTGATGTGTACTCTGCCTTGTACTGACGACTGATAGTTATCAGTACTAATATGCTACAAGAGTTTAAAATTTTCCTTGACATATTTTTTTCCTGAGTTACTGGTTCACAGTAGCCTTTTGCGTCGGATATATCCAGATAAGTTTTTTCAAACGTATTTTGTGACTGCATTCAAAATGATTATCAAATGGTTTACATAACAATATCACTGCTCCAGTGGTCACGAATCACAAACTAAAAAATAACTTTAGTTCTGATCGAGAAATTGACGATAAAGCTAAATAAGTTTTGGTAAATGACAGTGTTTTTGTGAAATGCTTCCTCATTGTGTGCTGATTCAATTGAGACTACACGGTTATTTTTTAGTTGACGCAGCAGGATAACCACTATGTATTGTTCAGTCTTGAGCTTCTCCTAACTGTCCCCGAATGTTGTGCCTTGCCAACGCTCTTTCCAGGTTGAGCCTTGGCAGCTTCATCGTCAGTTTCAGTTTCCTCGCCCCCGACACTGTCATCTTCATTGTCTTCGTCTGATTGGCCGTCATTCTCATCAAACTCTTCTTCTTCATCGTCTTCATTTGATTGCTTGGAACTCTGTACCTTGCCCTGTTTATGTTCAGCTCCACTGACCTCCTTGCCCACTTTGCACGTGCGGGCATTATGTCCGTCAGTTCCGCCACACTTGCGGCAAGTGTAGCTGTTACGTGTGTTGTCTCCATTGGTAGAAAGTTGGGTGGCTCCAATCTGCTTGTTCTTGTTGACAGTGGCATCTGTGCGGAGTGGGCATGTGCGGTAGTTATGGTTGCTCACGACATTGCAGAATCCGCATGCCCTTACCCCGAGGGGTTTGCCGTCCGGGCCAAATTCCACGCGCTTGATGGGGCGTGGTGGCTTTTTGGCTGTTGCTTGCATCTTGCTCTTCCTCCCCTTTGTGTTTGAGAATATTGGGGGTTTAATCACCCTTTCCTGATGCTGCTTGTAGGATGTGCTATTGTCATGTTGTTCGCCTACAGCACCATCAAGCTCATGATCTTGCATGTGAGTTTGTCGTTGCTCTTGAGTGTCCACACGGGCAAGCTCCGGTTGCTGCTGCTCCTCTTCCTCGTTCTCAAACGGGTCAATAGCTCCCATATGGTTCATCTCGGACAACATTGTAGCAATATCCTTCTCAATGGCTTCATTGTCCGCGACACCCCCATTGTCAGCAGAATGCATGGCGTCGAGTTCTTGTTCAAGTTTGTCCATGACGACCCGCGTCCTTGCCATTTGCTCTTGGCTTCTCAAGCTTTTTCTGTGCACCCTCATGTTCAGCGTCAGCAGTGAGCTTTCAATGCAGTATTGGGATGCCTTGTTTGACGCTACTGTCCTCAAGTCATTTCTGTCAAATGTTGGCTGGATATTCGGTCGTTTGGTGTATCTCCTGAGTATGTATTTCTCTGGAACGCTTTGAGCCTTAATTGTCTGCATCATGCATAGGACATGCACGCAGAAAAGACTTGTATTTGTTTTTGGAAGAGGTGCATGTTTTTTGTCATTTCATTCGAACAAAAACTTTGCAAAAAAAAGTAGTACAGTATGTAACATCTTTTTTGTAGTCCTCACCTGTGTGGTCCCATAGCCTGCACTCGCACTCATATGTTTCTCCCACGGGGTCTGCAACCACCTGGAACGCGTGCTGAGCCCACACAGACAGTTTTTGCGGGTGGTTGTAGCGCACTAGGTACTTTGTGGGCTCTTCCGTCTCTATCGCCGTGAAGAGAGTGCTCAGTTTTAGCCTATCTCTGATCTCGCTGTACACAACTCGCGTGTACAGCTTTGCCATCTGGGTGTCAAACCCATAGAAGGTCAGCGTGTTTTGTTCCGTCTGCAGATGCAAGAATGATGACCAAATTGTTAGTTTTCTCGCAGGAAAAACTTCTAATAAAGTTTTTACTTTAGTAAGCATGTAATTTTTTGTCTTACGACAAGTGATAGAGCTATACCCGGTTACCCATTGTCTCCTGGTTCTCTGTCTGCCTCCTGCTTTTGACGCAGGAGTTTATCTGGCTGACAAACCGGTGTAGGTTATGTCTCTCATTTACGTAGTTCTTCTTGAGCACATAGTTCATGCTCTCACTTCACTGTGTGGATGTCATTTTGGCGCAGAAAATTTCTTTGAAGTAGGCTGATATCCATTTCTCATGCTCGTTCCACATGCCCACCATTGTGGCATCATCATGGAGGTTGTACTTATCCATGAGTCTTTTCCAGGCATCCTCAAACTCAGTTGGCATGAGGGGCCAGTTGAGAATTGATGTGAATTCATCCTTAAGGTCCTCGTGCAGGAAATATAGGTACGCGAGGTGTTCCCTGTACTTCTTCGTAATGTGCCAGCGGCATAGCTTATGTATTGTGTTCTTGAAAACATCTGCGATCGCCAAAGCCATTGCCTGGCACTAGTCCGGTAATGAGAAAATAGACTCGGAGTGGTCAGCATATGGTGGTGCATATATATAAATAGAACTGACACAACATTTTTTACCGTGTTAATTTCCTTTTATTTTTTTGGGGTAGGGGGTGGTGGTGGTGGTTGGGGGTGGTTTTCGCGGTTGTACCTGTGAGGATGCATGTAGGAGCCTTCCCTCTCATGCACCTTAAAAACGTCTTGAACAACCATCTGAATGATTCTGCATCCTCATCTCTTATCAGGGCGAAACCAAAGAATGTAGTCTGTAAGTGGTTGTTAGTACCGACAAACACCCCAAGTGGCATATGGTACTTGTTGGTCTTGTACGTGGTGTCAAATGTTACACAGTCACCGAAGTCCTGATATGCGCCTCGGCAGCTTGCGTTCGCCCAGAATATGTTCTTAACTCTGTCGGACTCATCGAGTTGCATGTCACAGAAGAATTCCCTGTTTATAGCTTTCATCTCCCTAAAGAAGTTGACAGTCTTTAGGACATCATCCACATCATCAATCCTTGAATTCTTTGCTTTCCTGCATATAAAAAGTTTCATTGAAAAATGCACGTTGAACTGGCGTCAGGTGATGCGTTACTTGATATGTTTGTACTGACAGAGGAAAAAAGACGTAGGCGGTTTATGGGAGGAGAACAAGTTTGTACTTACATGTTAATCAGGTCTTTGGCATTCATTTCGAGGAAGTAGCTACCAGGGTCATCACCGCCCAGAATGCTCATGATTTGCGCGTGTTCAATGCCTTTGAACTGCAGGTACTTGACGTACTCCAAGATTGTTTTGTCAAAAAATTTGTGGGAGTGCAAGAAGACAAGCATTTGTGGAGTGAGCTGTAGCCTGTGGTTGTGTTCCCAGACTATCCCTTTTACGACAAGTGTTCCATCCTTTTCAATCTTCAGCCTCATTTTAGCCCTGTAGTCAGTCCTGGCTGTCGTTTTGTTCCGCTGTCTATTTGTTTCAGACACCTTTGATTCATAAACTCCATGGCACGTGCAATAAAGGTAGGCTCTGGTCTTAAACTTGGGGCCTTCCCTGACAGCAAAACCAGCGTGCTTTGCATATACGTTGTAGAAGTTCTTAGTTTCTTCGAAAGTTTCAAACCTCATCTCTAGCCTTGGCAGAACATAAGCTTCAATGTCAGGTGGCTACACACAATAGTGACAAAACAAAAATGTTAGATGGGGTGGTCACAGCACCATGGTATGGACTGTGCTTGTATTTTTTTTTCTATATGGATACTTACATGTGTATAGCTCTGGGCTGCCTCTGGTGTTTGTTGTTCTCCCTGGTTTATGGGCGCCGGTGGTGTCACCCTTGGCACATGTAGCAATGCATCTCTTGGAGGGAGCAACGATGACGAAGATCTCCGTCTCTCGTTGTACGGACGTCTCTCCTCAGATTCATTGTGATGTTGCTCCTGTCTATATGGCTCATATCTTGTACTTTTGAACCTGCTAGAGTGGCCAAAATTTCTGTCTTTTGCCCTGGTCTTCCCGTCGCAACTGCTTTTGCAGCACGGATGATTGATGTTGACAGAGCGACTGGTGGAAGCCTTCTTATGCATTGGGGAAGGAAAACATTTGTTGTTGGTGATATTGTTGGCCTAGTTGCAACCCAGTAGCGGCAAAGCTTGCATTCCCAGACATTGCTGTTTGCTGTATAGAAGGACCTATCCGTGCTTCTGATGATTGCGGTGTATCTTCAAATCTGCCTGTACTGTTGAAATATCCAGGCGGTATTTCTGGTGTTACCCAACCAGGTGGTGCCCCATATCTGTTTTGCTCATGAAATGCTTGCTGCGTGCGCCCCCTTGCATGCTTCTGCAAACAACATTCAAAAGTTTTTGGGATTAATCTGGTTTCGTTTTTCAGTCGAACTGATGAACGTTCATGTTCAAACACGGATGTACTGATGTACTGTTTTTTAGCACTGTTTTGTAAACTGGACATTGAACTCATGCATGACTTCTCCTTTGTTCTTCTGTAACTTATGCAACTACACTTGAAGTACTCCTAGTTTATGTATCATTGAACTTACTGTGTAATTGTGGCACTCTCTCGTCACTATCTACCTGGACTGACGCATATGTGCTATTTTTTCTAACTTGAACTGAAGATAGTATTTAGATGCACTGACAGTAACCTCGACATCCTAATCGTGCATCAATGCATATACATTACAAGTACTGCTAGCTTATGTATCACTGAACTTATTGTGTAGCAATTATATTATTTTTTTGGTAATAGTTTTGTTACTCGTTCGAACTGACGCAATTACATGACTTGTACTCTTAGGAATAACAACATACAACTCTCAGCGGTAGCTGAACCTTGTCACAATACCTGGACTGACGCATATGTGTTATTTTTCTTTTAACTTGAACTGAAGATAGCATATTAGATGCACTGACAGTAACCTCGACATCCTAATCGTGCATCAAGTGGCAGGGGTGTCAATGAACTGATGCTAGCATTTGCAATGTACCATCGGGTTCTTCTTCATAGCAGGACTGACGAACTGATGGAGTGACACAAGCGTGGGGAGCAGACATTACCTCCAGTGTACTGTCTTCTTCTTCTACCTCTCGTGTGCGTCTTACTGGCATGTTCTTGCGAGGTGGCACCATTGACGCAGCACCTGCTTGTGGTGGACGTCTAGCGAAGAGGTTCGTAGAGGAAGCACCTTGCGGGGATAACTGCCCCGGAGAAGGAGACCCGACGACGGAGGGAGGCAGGAGGTGGGGATGACGGCTCCGATGATGGACCCGGCGACGGAGGGTGGCAGGAGGCAGGGATGACGACCCCGACGATGCATCCGGCGACGGAGGGAGGCAGGAGGCAGGGATGACGACCCTGACGATGGATCCGGCGACGGAAGGAGGCAGGAGGCAGGGATGACGACCCCGACAATGGATCCGGCGACGAAAGGAATGAGGAGGCGGCGGCGGATCCGTCGCCGGCCAATCACGGCGCCGCGGGCTCTCTCGCTCCGGCTGCGCCCGCGACGGCTGCCTCCGGCGGTAGGAAGCGAGTCGGATTGGGGCTGGATCGGTCGTGGACGCGTCGCGCCTTATAGGGGCGAGGGTAACAGAATAATATTCTGTTACCGGTAACAGAAT